TTTTTGCTCTGGTTATTTTGGGACTAGGGTCTCATCATGGCTCTCCTATTTTAAGCTTCTGACTGTAACTGGGATGACAGGTGTGTGTCACCATTCCTGGCTTTTGTTGGTTGAGATGGGGTCTCATGAACTTTTTTACCCTGGCTGTCCTGGAACTGCAATCATTCCAATCTCAGCCTCTGAGTAACGAGGACTAGACATGAGCCACCAGTGCCCATCTTGGATTTTTTTTAGTTTGTTAACATGGTGAATTATTGTCTCTTTTTCTGAGTTCTTTTTTAACGTTTTTATTATCATATCATTGTAGTACTGGGGGTACATTGTGGTGAGAATTAAATTGAATTATTTTTGGATGTGAAATACATCTTCTGCACAGTTGGGATTACAGGTGTAAGCCAACATGTCCAGGTTTTTGCCCAGGCTGACCTTGAACTGAGATCCTCCTGATCTCCACCTCCCAAGTATCTGGGATTAAATGATGAAAAACCACTTAGAGACAGCTTAGTGTGTGCCAGGCATTGTGTTCAATGCTTAACACAGTTTCCACAGCAACTCTACAAAACATGAGTTGTTATTATCATCGCCCCTACTTACAGATGGGGAAACTGAGGTATAGAGCAGTTCAGCTCAGTTGGCTACAGTCGTATGGACTATAAGCAGCAAGGCCAGGAAGCAACCCCTAGAGGTCTTGCTCTGGAGGATCCAGCCTGTTTACTGCCTCTAATGGGAAACATTCACAGATTAAGGAGAGTACGGGCTTAGTTTTCTACTTCTGGTTAATAACCCCCGAAACTACCATGTGTCAGCTTACCTGCTCCCTGCCAGGGTGCAGACCCTTTTATTCTTCCCTTGTCTCGTCCAGACCCTCAGAGCAGAACCTATCTCCTTTGCTTGGCAGCCACGGACAGGCTCCCTTCAGAGGGGTGGTGAGCATTTTCAAACTGTCACCTCTTTCCCCACCTCATCTTCCTTCACATCCATGCCATCTTTCAGAAAGTAAAATTAAAAAAAAATCTTTCAAACCTCAGTTTAAGTTTGATCAGTTCCTTTCTTATCAGGCCGGTTCACCCATTCTCCTGCTTGCTACCTTCCCTCAGGCATTCAAGTTCAAATTCATCTTTTTCTCCCTGCACTGCCTTTCCTTCTCACTGCCGTGTCCCTACTCAGCCAAGCAGTGTTAGCTCTGTTGACTTATTTTGTGCCTTGAGGACAGTGAGAGACATCTTGCTTACTTGAAAAGGAGAGAGAACACAGTGGGAGAGCACTTGCCTAGCATGTGCAAGGCCCTGGATTAGATCCCATTACTTGAAAACGAAGAAGAAGAAGAGGAGGAGGAGGAGGAGGAGGAGGAGGAGGAGAGAGAGAGAGAGAGAAAGAGAGAGAGAGAGAGATGGAGTTTTAGGAAGGCTAGGACACTAGTGTTCTCTGCTAAGCATGAGGGACCAGAGTTAATGAGAGCATATTCCTGACCATGATGAAGACACAATGATGAAAAGAGCAGGCTTGGTTTGCTGGCTTGACTGTGTGATTATAGACAGGATCCTCCATGTCTCTGAGTCTCAGCATTCTCATCCATAAAATGGGTTCTGAGACACGGTTAGGTCACAGGGGTGTGGTGGAGATGAAGTGTGAAGAAGGCATTGATTCAAAAATGCTTTCCTTACTTAGCCAGGTGTTGGTGGCTCACACCTGTAATCCTAGCTATTTGGGAGGCTGAGAGCAGGAGGATTGAGGTTCGAGGCCAACCCAGGCAAATAGTTCACAAGACCCCTCTCCAAAATAATCAGAACAAAATGGACTGGAAGTGTGGCTCAAGCTGTAGAGTTCCTGCCTTGTAAGCAAGAAGCCCTGAGGTCAAACCCTAGTCCCACCAAAAAAAAAAAAAAAAACCCAAAAATGCTTTCTTTGAACCACCAGGCATTGTGCTGAATATTTTGAGCAATAGGGTCTTTTTGTGTTGCCCAGGCTGGCCTCAAGTTACTGGGCTCAAGTCATTCTCCTGCCTCAGTCTTCTGAGTAGCTGGGACTGCAGGCATGTACCGCCAGGCCGGGCTTTAGCCATTTTTATATGGATCATTTTATTTTAATAGGTACCACATTCATGAGTAGTTATGTACTTTTGTTAGACCGTTTTACCAATGGGGCAAATTGTGGGACTGAAGTGTTGAGAGTTCATAAGGCACAGAGCTCCACCCATACTTCACAGTAGAACTCCCTGGACTACACGTCAGGCCAAGTACCTTAGCCTGTGTGGGGCAATGAAGAAGGGGATTGGACTACCTGGTTTTTCCCAATCTTTTTCTCCCAGTTGTAGGTAGCTGGAGACATTGGTCCTGGTCCCCTAGTTCCAAGATCTCTCATGCAAACAACCTCTCCAAATCTATCCCTCAATTTCTACCCTCTTCTCCAATGCCCTCACAAGGATTTGGAAAACTTGGGGTGAGTTCTCTGGCAGGAACACCAATTTGATTAAAACCTCAGCTTTCAATAATATCAGGATGGTCTGCGGTCCGTTACTTCACATCCCGCAAAGCTGTGCCTCTCCATCAGCGGTGGGGAATGAGGTTTGCTAATTACTGGTGACTGGGCGGGGAGAAGGCAGGGATTACTGTGGTGAACCTGAGAGAGGAATAACCCACCAAGCTAAGTGCTCTTCTCCGTGCACCTCTTGGGCCTCCTCTGGTTCACTCCTGGGGCTGGGCAGCCCCCTTTTCTGACAACCCCCTCTTCTGACAACCCCATTGGATTGTGACAACCACACCAACTGCCACACAGCAACAATCAGTGAATGTATCAGGCACTGACCTGTGTGCTTAACCTGCACTGACATCACTTCTCACAGCCATCTCAGGGGATCTTCCAGAATGCCTATTTTACTGATGTGGAAACTGAGGCACAGAGGGCATAAAGACCCACCACCCAACCCCGGCAGAGGTTGGATTACAAGCCCCCTGCACCCTCCAGCCTAAACTCCTGTTTGCTAGGACACACTTGCCTCCCTTTAAGGCTTTGAAAGTGTGACTTCAGGAATTTGTCTTTGAACCAACCTTGTAAGCTATGGACAAAACTGCTTTCAGCCTGTGACTTTTGCACAAGCCTCATCTCCCCAGTCATTCTTCTCTAGGGTGCTCAGTCCTTCTGCCTGTAGCGCCGCAAGCCCTCAGTGGTGAGCTTCCTGGACTCAGGGCTCACCCCTTAGGTCATCTGGTACACCCTAAGCACTTGCACACAGTAGGTGTATAAACACACCAACACAACCCAACCCTTTTTCCTAATCCCAACCAGCCCTTCTCCTTCAGATTCCTAAGATCTGTCTAGCACAGTGTCTGGCATACAGTAGGTGCCAATGCTATGGATCAGGAATGACCTAACTAGTATGAGAGTTAGGCTGTGACGCTCCAAGGTATTATGGCTTCCACCTCAAGGTCCTTGATGGTTTGAGCTTTCCTTCATTCTCTCTGCTCTCATGTCCCTGCTTTGGACTCTTGGAGGTCAGTCTTCTACTTGTCATTGTGGCTCTGTCCCTTGGCAGAAGAAATGCCTGGGATGTAGAGATGGCGGGGGGGAGGTGTAGGTTCAGATAACTTCTGATGAGTGAGCTAAGGGGACTTCTCAATTTCAGCAAGCAATAACCAACCTTCTCAAACACTCACTTCCCAAAAGAGTTCTGGGGAGGTGCTTAGGAGGACCAGAGGATGGGGAATTGTGGAGTGGGGTGAGAGGCTCATCTGGGATGGAAATGAATCTGAGCTCCAGGTAATTACAGGACTGGCTACTACCCCAGCAGGGTGCTTCAGAGGCAGAACCCTGTCCTAGGGCAGCCAGAGGTATCAGTTAGGAATAAAAGCCTTGCTGGAGGAAGAGGGGCTCCCATGTTAAGAGACTTGTGCTTTCTCCATGCCTGCCAGGTTTGGGAGGGGGACTGGTTAAAAAAAAGCCTGCTCCCAACTTCCCAGAATCCTAGGATGCTCAGGCTGTCAGGCTAGTAATGCTGAGGTGGACTGTGCTGAGACTGTAGCTGGTACATCAGATTCCCACTCCCCTCCTCTTATGTTCCTTTCTGTCTCTCTCTCCTTCTGCCTGAACGTCATCTCCAGGAATCCTTCTGCTGTAGATTCTATGGAAGAAGGGGTCATCCAAAACTAGAGTCTCCAGGAAAGTCTTTTTCCTTGTTTCTCCGGGTTTCTCTCTCACACAGCCCAGCATCGCCCCTCATCTCCAGCAGATCAGCTCTCTTCAGGAATTCAGCCCAAGTCTCAGCCATACTTTCCAGAGGACGTTAGGATGTGGGAATAGTCAGATCTCTGCAGTGGGCGTGAACTGCCCAAGGGCTGACATGGAGGCAAAGCCTGGGGGGCCAGGCATGTTCCCAAGGAGAGTTTGACCCCCCCATCCTAGGTGGTGGCTTGGGCAGCCTTGCCCTGAGCAGGCACAGTCCCAGAGCCACTTCCTACTCTTCTCTGCCAATAGAAGACCCCTTATAGGGCAGCTAGGGAGCATTCCAGTGCACCCAAGAAAGAGTGGCCGTGGTCAGATCTCCAGCTTCCTCTTGGGTCAGGCTGGGATGTGCAGAGGGGCAAAGTGGCAGAGGTGTCCCCAGCTGGGTGGGACATCTAGAGCAGGTTTTCTGTCCAGAAGTGGTATCCAAGTCACAGGCAGCCCTCAATGGACCCCTCCTAGAGGTGACCCTTCCAGATGCACAAGTAATTGCACCCCGGAGTCTATGCACACTCACACTAATGCACACTCAGTGTTCACTGCCCTCGTGCACACTCACCTCACACACACAGACACAGACACAGACACAGACACACACAGACACACACAGCTCCTTGCCATGCCAGAGCAACTTCTTTCCCCCCCAACCTGGAAATCTCTACAGTTGACATCAAGACTTAAACTTTTCCAGAGGGGCACGCACCGAGGAACGTGGCTGGGACCCTGGGGTCACTCCACACTGGGGGCTCTTGGCTTCCCTCCCTCTCCCCCACGCCCCTCACCTGGTAAACCGAGGCACAGCAAGAGGCTGTAGTAGACCACGGGCACGAAGCCCAAGCCGCAGGCAGAGCCGGGGGACCAGGACAGCGAGCTGTTGGCTGCGAGGTGGGCGTGCGTGTGCTCCATGAGCGCCCCTGGCTCCCCTCGTCGCTCCCCGCAGCCTGCCAGCCGGGCTCTGGACGCCGGCTCTGTGGTGGCGGAGGCAGCAGCTGGAGCAGCACCACCTCTCCCCACAGGACTTGCTTCTACCCTTGGCCGGTGGTCCCCTCTGCTCCCTTGCACCTGCCGGCCTGGAGTCCGGGCTCAGTCCTCCTGCAGGGTGCAGGGCGCGCGGCACAGGGTGCGGGGACTTGGGGACTCGGGAGGGGCTCCCGGAGCCGGTTGTGCACCTCCCACCTCGGACTCGCTCTGCTCCCGCCTCGGAGCCTGGAGCGGGTGGGGGGAGTAGGGCTGGGACGCCGCTCCCCGCAGCCAATCAGCAGCTGCCTGGATGTGGGGTGTGTATGTTGTGGGGGGGGATGTTGGGGGATGGCATCGTTTGGATGCTGGAGAGGAGGGGGTCTCAGCTCCTTTCTTGGCTCCAGTTTCAGGGGAGAAGAACCTGGGAGCCCTAGAGGAAGACAGGGTGCAGACAAGGCTCCCCTCTCCATCCTCCGCGGGAGGGGCGTGGTGTGGGTGGGACCTGCGGCTCCTGCAGCGGCTCCTTCACTTCTCCAGCATGTCCTCAGTTTGCCTTTCTGACACTCCTCCCTGTCACCTCTCCCCCCTCGCCAGTGCCTCGAGTCCATCTCCCTATAGCGGATTCTACATCCAGAGCGTGGGGGGAGGGGGAGGCTCTGGGAGCCCCAGGATGCTAAAGGTTGTGGGTTTTCTTGGATCAGGGGAGCTGAGCTTGCTGGTCTGGAAGGCAGGGCGACTCGAGTGTGTGTGTGTGTGTGTGTGTGTGTGTGGTGTTGACCATGGGGGCGGCCGCTTTGGGGATGCACCTGAACTTGAGTGCACTTGGAGGGGATGTTAAGAGAAGCCCGCCACACGCAGCCGCTCAAACACACACTCACCCACGCTCACACAAAGCCACACAATCCCCAGCAGGCGGGTGCCCTTACACACTTACGCACGCACGCAGCTGCCCTGGCACCCCACACCTAGCCACACACGTGAAAAACGCGCACACATCCTCATGTCCACGCACAAGGGCACCTAGCTCCGAGCTCCAAACACGCACGCAAACGCACGTGGGGGGCGCGGTGGGGAGTGGTCTTGAGCGTTTGAAGGTTGTGTGAAGGATAGGATGGGAAGAGCAGGTGGCATCCAATTCACAATAGAGGGGCGCCCGTTCTCCTCCTCAGGCCAGGCGGGTGGAGAGTTCCAAGGGCAGCGCTTTTGTGGAGAAGGGACTGATGTCTGTCCCGGGCTGTAGACAGTGTGCGCAACAGAGTTGAAGATTCTGCAGAAATACCGAGGCAAGTGTTTCCAGGAGCAAGCTGAAGCAGCTGCCAGCGTGGGGCACGTAATGGGCTCTTAGAAGCCTGAGACCCTCCTGGCTCCTCCCACGCAGCCTGCCCTCCTTGGAACACTGGTTCCTGGAGAGAAGGAGCAGGCTGGGCTTTTCCCAGCCTCTTCCAGGTCTCCATGGTAGAGGGGACCTCTGCCTTTCATGCCTAGCCAGTGGCCATGTGTCCTGTCCACATTTTGGTTGGGGGCTCTCCCAGGCAGGGATTGGGGGGAGGATGGGGGTGGACCCCTCCCAAACATCCATGGTCAGGCACCATGCACAGCCTGGGATTTGCTGTGTCTGGCTGAGTCTGTGGTGGACGCGCAGGCACTGGCCCTAAAGGACAGATTATTACAGTCACATGGGCACGGTGCAGCTCCATCGGATATGCCAGGCCTCATTAGATATTAAAATTTTACTGTGACCTCTCTCATTGTTTAATTTTTGAGTTGTATTTTTATTTTAACTGACACATAATCGTGCATATTTCTGAAGCATAATTTGATGTTTCCATTCATGTATATAATGTGTAATGATCAGATCAGGGTAATTAGCATATTCATTACCTTCAACTTGTATCATTTCTTTGTGGTGAGAACATCCAAAATACTCTCTTGTAACTATTTTTAATGTGACTACCCCAAACAAACAACCAAACAAAAACCACAAACAAAAGGAAAACACACTGTGTTGAAAATTAACAGTGCCTAACTGGTAGATGCTCAATAAATAATTGTTCAAAAACCTATAGATTGGGTTTGTCTGCTAGTGGGTAGACTGAGATGAGAATTTGGGGATAGAGAAGGGGGATATATGGTTTAGCAAAGCTTCCCAGTCTCTTCAGAGATCTCCTTATATTGTGATCCCTGGGTAAGGAAGACCCCAGGGCCTTTGCACTGGCTGTTCCCTCTGCCCAGAGTGCCCTCCCTTCAGTAAGGTGCATGGCGGCCCCATCACCTTCAGGTGTTTGGTTATCTGTCCATTTCTCACTGAGGATTTTCTTCACAACCCTATTTGAAATTGAAATCGTTGAAAGATTCCACTTCCTTTCCGTTCCCTGCTTACTTTTCCTCTGTAGGCTTCGTGCCATCAGCACGCCATATACAATTGACTTGGTTTGTTTCTTGTCTTGGAAGGCCAGGGTCTTTTGTCTGTGGGCTTTGGTTGCACCCTCAGCATCATGCAGTGCCTGCAAATTGTAGAGTCTCAAAAAACATGGAAAGAGTGAAACTGGCAGCAGCCACTAGTCCAGGTGCACAGGGCGTAGGGAGGTTAGGCGAGATTTTCTCTGCGTCCTGACTGTCAGAGTACAAAACACTATGGAGGCTGGGCATAGGCAAATCTCAGATTTACCAAGTAATTAATTATCATGTCTTACTAGCCATCCCCCCAAATGGCTTGCATGCTTTGTTAGGTACTCTTCCTACAACTTGGCTGGGAAGAGGGAACTGGGTTTCATGGGGAATGTTGGGGGACCTTACTGTAGCAAGCCTTTATTTCTCCATCTGTCAAATGGGGCAAGAGAACAGGATGCCTTTGTCCAAGGGCTACTGAGCAGGGAGAGGGAACACAATGATGGAGACAGTGCAGATGTAATTCTGGGAAATGGGGACTAGGACATGGTCCACTGCTGCCTCTGTGGGGATCCTGGTCACAGAGATGGGGCAGGATGAAAGAACATGGAAAGTATATTTAGTTTTGTTCAAAGGCTGACTCACTTGACTGGCTGTTCAGGGGACAATGGCGTGCTTGGGCTGGCTGTCAATTGTGGTTGGCCAAGTCTGTTCATTCACTTATTCTTTCAACAAGATTTACTGGACACTGTGTGTGTGCTGCTCAGGACTGGCCACAGGATTTGTAGGGATGGACATGTTTTAGTATGACAACAGCAGAGAAGTACACAGAGTGTGGAGTCCTTCTAGTGTGCAGCCCAGTGTGGTCACACAGGTCCTTGCCTGTAGTCCTGCCAGTGGAATGACCACTACAGTAAGAGCTCACATAGGGCTGGAGGCGTGGCTCAAGTGGTAGCGTACTTGCCTAACAAGTGCAAGATCTTGAGTTCAATCCCTAGTACTAATAAAAAAAAAAAAGAAGAAGAACAAAGAAAGGGGTTGGCAGAGTAGAGCATCTGCCTAGAAAGCCTGAAGTCCTGAGTTCAAACTCCGGTACCATTAGAAAAAAGGAAAAAAGAAAGAAACAAAAGGAAACAATTCCATTTATGCTAGCATCAAAAAGAATAAAATATCAGGCTGGGTGTGGTGGCTCATACCTGTAATCTCAGCTTCTGAGGAGGCAGAGACTGAGAGGATCACTGAGGTTGGGCAAGACCCCATTTCAACAAACAAGCTGAGTGTGGTAATATGTGCCTGTGATTCCAGCTACAAGGGATCTCATAAGTAGAAGGATCACAATCTGAAGCCAGCTGCCTCGTAGCTCTGTATTCCTCAGGAATCCTTTGATGGAAATTGATAGAGAAAGGTTCCAACTAGCTCAATTTTTCAAAAGAAATGTGTTGGCTGTCATCCCTGAAAAGTACGGAAGTTTGTGTGACTTCAGCCTGGTGGACCCAGGCACAAAATGTACCTGTTTCTTTCTATCAGTGGGCTCTGCTTTACTTGGATTAGCTGTGTTCTTAGCAGGTTCTTACAATGTAATAAAAAGGTGCACACGAGTGTCCCTGGGTTTATCCTATGAGCCTAACAACCTGAGCTGCCAGAGACTTTCAGCAGAAGTCCTGGGAAAGGCTGTCCATGTCCCAGCCTGGGTCATGTGCTCACTCCACCAAGCTCATTTTGAGCTGGATTTCTGTAACCACCACCACCAACAAAGATACTGATTGGCCAGATGTGATCATGTATCCAGTGATGGAGGGAAAGCAAGGAGTCAGTTCTCCCCAAGCTGTGTGGACTGTGGGATGAAACAGACCATTTAGCCAAAGGAAAATAGGGATTCTGTAACAGGATGTCTGGGATAGGTGCCAGGCAGGCAAAACCAACACCTGTCTACAAGCTGAATTCAGCTTGCTATTGCTCTGTTAGATCTGTTAGAGCTAGGTTGTATGTTTTATTAATTTTTTAAAAATAGGCTTTATTTATTTTTTGGTGGCACTGGCATTTGAACTCAGGGCCTCATGCTTGCTAGGCAGGCACTCTAGTACTTGAGCCACTCTGCCAGTCCTAGACTTTATTTTTAAGGGCAGTGTTAAGTTCAGAGCAAAACTGGGCAGAGGGTACAGAGAGTTCCCATATACCCCATGTCCCCACATGTGCATGCATAGTCTCCCCCATTATCAACATCTTGCTCCAGGGTGTGGTGCATTTGTGTATATTAGATAGCATTGCAGTATTGTAACATGATACCTGAGGCAACTAACTTAAAAAGAGAGAAAAGGTTTGTTTTGGCTCATGATTCTGGAGAGTCTAGTTCGGGATTGGACTTGCTTTGAGCCTCTGGTGAGAACAGCACATCATGGTAGGAGAACCAGGAGGGAGGGAGGGAGAGAGGGAGAGAGAGAGAAAGGCGAAAGAGAGAGAGAGCCCTAGGGATCTCCCACAAGGCCCCACCTCCTGAAGGTCCACATTATCTCCTAATGTCATCATCCTGGGCACTGAGCGTTTTCCACGTGGACCTTTGGGGGAGACTCCTGCATACCACAGCCATTTGTGACAAGGGATGAGTCTACAGTGATACGTCATCGTCACCCAGAGTTCACAGCTTATATTATGGTTCACTCTTGGTGATGCATCTTCTTTGGGTTTGGACAAATGTATAATGTCACACCCCCACATGACCACGTCATCCTAGAATTCTTCCACACTTCACCTATACATCCCTTCCTTAGTCCCTTCCTTAAGCTCTGTTTTATTTTTCATGTCAAAAATATCTTCTGTATGAACCATAAGTAAATACTGACC